AGCCCTCTCAACGGCCTTGAGCAACTCGGTAGTTAACTTGCTCTCAGCCCAATTCCTCATGGGACGGGGTATCCTCGACCCCTTATAGGATATATTATGATCCTCCCTGAATATTCTCCAATCTCTCTCGGTCATTTCCTCCAGCTTCTTATCCGACCAATGGCGATCAACCCTCATGTCGAAAGTATCATACATATCAGCATCTAGTTCCTTCTTCTTTAAAGCAGCTGCTTCAATAGCAGACTCCTCAATTCCGTCCTTCTTACGAATCTCCTCACGGAGCTCCCGTTCATTCTTAGCAGCAAGCTTCTTCTGCTCCCTTCTATCCATTCCAGCACGAAATCCGCGACCAAAGAGTAAGCGGGCTTCATGAGGGTTTTGGTAGAGAGCATTCATGTCACGTGATGTGTCCTCCGTGTTCTCCCAGTCGAAGGAGAATCGGAATTTCTCACTGGGCTTAATCACCCGCTTCTTAGGTTTTTTGGAGCCCAGATACTGCTCTTTAATAGCATCAAGCTCCTTCTCTCGTTCTCGCTCGGCGAGTTTCTCCAATCGAGCTCGCTCTCGTTCTTTTAGCTCTTCGTCACGCTCCCTCTCCCGCTTCCGGCGTTCCGCCTCCCTATCACGGTCCCTTGACTCCCTTTCTCTATCGCGGTCTCTGGAGCGATGGTGGTCCCCCCTATCCCGATCCCTATCCCTATCCCTATCCCTATCCCTATCTCTCTCACGAGGATCCCGGTCATGATTGTTGTCGGTGGAGGAAGGGCGGTCGTTACCTTGTTCTTGGAGAAGCTGTTCGGCCCGCCGTTTCTGCTCGGCAATTTCTTCGTGGCGGCGCTTAAGGGCTAACTCCTCTCGCTGTGCTTTAGTAAGGAAGACAGGCTTCTTTGACGGATCAGGCTTGGTTCCGATGTCGTCAACTGATCGACTCATACCGTCCGTCGGCTGATTTAGATAGGGTTTATGTTGAGGGGAGAAAATTTTGACTGTCTCTCTTTCTGATTCTCGATTAGGGGCTCTTATTCGGCAGGAAACAACAATACACTTTACTTATGCTGGGCAAAACTCTCTCGTATGCTTTTATGCATCAGGGAAAGCAGACTACTAAAAAGTTATCCCTATTAATACTGCAAATTTACTTTGACTTAAAACTAGAAAAGTTATTCCTATTTAATTTTGATTATAAATCTTATTAACCATATCAAGAAAGGAAAAACACCAATTAAATCACACAACAAGAAAAGAATCACATGCAAACCCATTTCAGATCGGACTAAGGTAAAATCGGGTAAACCCTAGGAATATTAGCTTCCTTAAATATAACTCAGTATCCAAGCGAATAATATCGAAAAAACGGGAGAGAATCACCAAATATCAAATCTTAAACTATTTAAGTTTCCTGCTCTAATTAATTTTAAATTAATCTTCAACGGATGATAGCTCCTTTTTTTTTTTTCTTCTTTAATACTATAATAATATAATGTACTCCATTAAAGATGTAGAACTTTTGCTTGTGATTATGCAAGACTCTTGATTTAACGATATATATTTTGACCATGCTTTTCTCTCTAACATATCTATTTATGCTGAATAGTTTTAGCTTGTTTAGTTGAAGTGTGTGTTGGGAATAAACCCCTTACAGATATAATATTCACAGTATTAAAAGCGGAATAATAACGTAACATCGAGATACGATAATTAAGAAGAATAAAAGAGTGACTACGACACCAAGATTTTTACTGAAAAAACTACGGCCCCGAGACGAGCAACTAATATCACTATAGCAAGAAATTTTACACTTTGTAGGTCCGAGTAAAATACTCCAAAGACCACTACAACACTCAAAACAAATAACCCTCTTTTGATATTCCCACCTTACTACAATATCGTTCACTCTATATTTTCCTCTAGTCTATTTCTCACAATGCTTGAGAAATACTCTCTACAACTATTGTGTTGCTTCTCTTTCTGTGTGGTGAAATGAAGAAGCCGAAGCTCTCCTTTTATAGGAGAAATACCCCTTCAACCAATCAGAATGAAGGATTGGTTGAAAATTTGCAATACAAATTTTTTCTTTCTTCCGCCTAACAATTTGACATTTTCCTTCTGCAGCCTACCATATTTGACAATGCAAAAGAAAAGATGGCTGCCAATCAAAGGAAGAAAGTTATCTTCCTTAATTTATGGGATAGACCCCACAAATCTCCCCCTCCAGTCCCATTCACCTTAAGGAGGTAGCACTGTCTTCTAGTTTGAGTGCATGCCGACAAGTTCTTTGCATAGCTCGAACTTGTCTCTTGATACCACCTTGGTCAACATATCAGCAAGATTTCCACTAGTGTGAATCTTTTTGACCTGTAAAGATTCGTTCTCCACCTGCTCACGAATCCAATGATATCTCACATCTATATGCTTTGTTCTTGCATGGTACATGGAGTTCTTGCTCAAGTCTATTGCACTTTGACTGTCACGATAGACGACATACTCCTTTTAATGCAATTCCAGCTCTTGAAGAAACCGCTTGAGCCATACCATCTCCTTGCCAGCTTCTGTAGCGGCAATATACTCTGCTTCAGTTGTTGAAAGTACAACACACTTCTGCAATTTAGACTGTCATGATTTACCTCCCCCTGAAAATGTAAACAAATATCCAGTAGTGGATTTTCTGTTATCAATGTCACTTGTCATATCAGCATATGTATAGCCCTTCAAGATTGGATGAGATCCTGCAAAGTACAAACTATCTCCCGTGGTACCTCTCAGGTACCTAAGTATCCACTTGACTGCTTCCCAATGTTCCTTTTCAGGATTTTCAAGGAATCTACTAACAAAACCAATTGCATGAGCAATATCAGGTCTGGTACATACCATTGCATACATCAAGCTTCCGACTGCTGAAGAATAAGAAACTCTAGCCATGTTTCCTTTCTCCTCCACACTTGTAGGACACATCTTCTTGCTCAACTTTAGATGACTAGCAAGAGGTGTGCTGACTGGCTTAGCATTCTTCATGTTGAATCGTTCCAGTACACGTTCAATGTACTTCTCCTGAGACAGCCACAACTTTCTGCCGGTTCGCTCTCGAATTATCTTCATACCCAGAATTTGTTGTGCTGGGCCCAAGCCTTTTATATCAAATGACTTGGACAAATCTCCCTTCAACTTTGCGATGAGCCCCTTGTCTTTTCCTACAATTAATATGTCATCCACATACAACAACAATATAATAAAGTTATTTTCAGAAAATCTTTTAAAGTATACACATGGATCAGAATATGTCTTTGTATAAGTTTGATTTTTCATGAATAAGTCAAACTTCTTGTACCACTGCCTTGGTGCTTGCTACAACCCATAAAGACTCTTATTCAGTTGCACACCATGTGTTTCCTTTCAGCTACTTCAAATCCTTCTGGTTGCTCTATATATATCTCCTCTTCCAAATCTCCGTGAAGAAATGCAGTTTTCACGTCCAATTGCTCCACTTCAAGATCTAGGCTAGCTGTTAAGCTTAAGATTGTTCGAATAGAAGTCATTTTGACAACAAGTAAGAAAATTTCGTCAAAATCAATACCTTTCTTCTGCTTGAAGCCTTTTACCACCAATCGAACTTTGTATCTGACCAACTTGTCGTTTCCATCTTTCTTGAGTTTAAAGACCCATTTACATTTGAGTGGTCTTTTTCCCTTTGGAAGTTCAACCAGCTTGTACGTGCCATTTTTCTGTAGAGATTCTATCTCTTCTTGCATGGCTTTCATCCACTTGTTCTTTTCTGGATGGGACAACACCTCCTTAAGACTTCCTGGCTCCCCTTTATCACTGATGAGGACATACTCTGTGGAAGAGTACCTGCATGACTCTACTCTTGGCCTTTCTGATCTCCTTAGAGGTTGAGGTTGTTCTTCTCCCTAAGTGGGGTGATCCACTTGCTCGACATCATCATCAAGTTGCTCTCCCTGCTCAATAACCTCACCAGGTTGCTCCCCCTGTTCGGCAACCTCGTCGGTCGTACTATCTGCACTTGTGGGATTGTTAGAAGTAGAAGGAATAGTAACAAGGTTAGGAATAATACCATTCTTGGCCTTCTCTAACATATCATCAGCAGTTCCAACTTCACTTTCTCGAAAGACTACATCTCTGTTTCTGATGACCTTCTTCTTTATGGGATCCCATAATATGTATCAGAATTCTTCATCTCCATATCCGATGAATATGCAAGGAACAAATTTATCATCCAACTTTGTTCTCTGCTCCTTTGGTACATGTGCAAAAGCTTTGCAACCGAACACCTTCACATGCGAGTAAGACACCTCCTTGTTGGTCCAAAATCTCTCTGGGGTGTCAAACGCCAACATAACTAATGGACTCATATTGATCATGTAACAGGCTGTCTTAACTGCTTCACCCCAGAATGACTTAGGCATTTTAGCCATTCTGAGCATGCTTCTCACATTCTCCACAATGGTGCAGTTCAACCTTTCGGCTACGCTATTGTGTTGTGGGAGTTCCAGGAATTGTCTTTTCATGTCTGATCCCATGGCTCGAACAATACTCTTTAAATTCCCTTGAAGTGTACTCACCTCCATTGTCACTTCGGAGACGCTTTAGCTTTTGGCTTGTCTCCCTTTCTACCATAGCATGAAACTTTTGGAAACTTGAAACACCTGATCTTTGGTTTTCAAAATATAAACCCCCAATTTTCGTGAAGCATCATCAATAAAGGTAACAAAATATTTGTTACCGCCCATCGATTCAATTTCCATTGGACCACAAACATCACAATATACCAAATCAAGTATATTTAATTTTCTTTCAGACGATGTCTGAAATGAGACTCTATGTTGCTTACCAAATAAATAGTAGTCACAGGGTTTTACCGTTGTACCTTTGGCATAAGAAATGAGTGATTTCTTGGCAAGAATCTGCAATCCCTTTTCGCTCATATGACCCATTCTTTTGTACCACAATTCTGCAGAAATCTCATCTTGTGCCGCGTTCAATTCACCTTGACATATTTCTGCATTTGTCCTGTACAAAATGCCATGAGCAACTCCCTTTGCAATCACCAATGATCCCTTGGTGAGTCTCCACTTTTGATTTGCAAAATAGTTCTGGTATCCATCTCGGTCTAAAGCAACTTCCGAGATCAAGTTCATCCGTAAATCAGGTACATGTTGCACGTCCTTCAGAACCAATGTGCATCCGACATTTGTCTTGATACAAATGTCACCAATACCCGTAATCTTTGAGTAACTTGTGTTACCCATTCTCACAAGGCCGAAATCACCTGCTACATATCTGCAAAAAAGATCTCTTACCGGTGTGGCATGGTAAGATGCTGCTATATCAACCACCCATTCCGACTCTGGACCTGATAAGTGTATGCATTCCTCTTTTTCGTTTATACAGAGGACAACATTATCATTGTTTCGCACCATGTCGGATGTGTTGTTGTCATTCTTCTGGCCACTAGTTTCACCTTTGTCCTTCCTTGGATTTGGGCAATCTCTTTTGAAGTGACCTGGTTGATCACAATTGTAGCAATTTCTAGCTCTTGATTTGGATCGGTTCTTAGACTTCCCACGAGCTCTGAATCTACCATAGTTGCTCGAACTCCTTTGATAACTCCTGCCTCTACCTTCTGTGTTGAGAGCATTTCCTTGATTTTCAGGCTTCTTTCTCATCTTCTCATTGAGTAGAAGAGCCGATGTGACATCTTTCAGCTCAATGGTAGTCTTACCGTGCAAGATGGTTGTTGCCAGATTATCGTACGAAGATGGCAACGAGTTCAATAGCAAGATGGCTTTATCTTCTTCCTCGATTTTCACTCCGAGATTGGCGAGCTGTGTGATTAGTCCGTTAAAAATATTTAAATGTGACAAAAAATTCGTACCTTCACCCATATGTAGGGCGTATAGCTGCTTCTTCAGGTACAATTTATTTGTTAGTGTTTTGGACATGTATAGGCTTTCCAACCTTGTCCAAATGCCACGTGCGGTGTCTTCATCAATGATGTTATTTACCACATCATTTGATAAGTGCAACCTGATTGCACTAGCAACCCTTTTCATCCAAGTCAGTCCAATCCTCAGCTTTCATGGTATCAGGTATTTTGGCCTCAGCATCTAGTACCTTGTGTAATCCTTGTTGGATGAGCAAATCTCTCATCCTTCTTTGCCATGTTGAGAAACCGCTATCTTCGATAAATTTTGCTACCTCGTACTTTACTCCGGACATTTTTATTTTTCACCGAGTATAGTACTACTGATAGTGAATAGTATTTCTGTGAACGAACAGAACCTGTGCTCTGATACCAGTTATTGGGAATAAACCTCTTATAGAAATAATATTCATAGTAATAAAAGCGGAATAATAACGTAACACCGAGATACGATAATTAACAAGAATAAAAGAGTAACTACGACACCAAGATTTACGTGAAAAACCCTTTTGAATAAGGAAAAAAATCACGGCCCCAAGACGAGCAACTAATATTACTATATCAAGGAATTTTATACTTTGTAGGTCCGAGTAAAATACTCCAAAGACCACTATAACACTCAAAAGAAATAACTCTCTTTTGATATTCCCACCTCACTACAATATCGCTCACTCTCTATTTTCCTCTACACAGTCTATTTCTCACAATGCGTGAGAAATACTCTCTGCAACTATTGTGTTGCTTCTCTTTCTGTGTGGTGAAATGAAGAATCCAAAGCTCTCTTTTTATAGGACAAATACCTCTTCAACCAATCAGAAAGAAGGATTGGTTGAAAATTTACAATGCAAATTTTTTCTTTCTTCCGCTTAACAATTTGATATTTTTCTTCTGCAGCCTACCATATTTGACAATGCAAAAGAAAAGATGGCTGCCAATCAAAGGAAGAAAGTTATCTTCCTTAAATTATGGGATGTACCCCACAATGTGCTGCCTTGTCAACACGCTAATGCAGATACATGCACCATATTGGATGCACCTATGTTATTCCGCGGGTGATGGCCTTTTGTGTGTGTTAGTTAATTTCGAGTTGCTTTTGTCATTATACAAATATCTAACCAAAGAATAGATTTTTACCTTCATATACTATATATAAAACTTTATTACCCCCTTAATCAAGTTTTAACTTAATTATATGGGCATATACAATCTCAATTATATACAATTAGTATTAATGAGTATCCCTTTATATTAGGAATTGAATAGCGAAATATTCATTTCGCATCCCTGCTCTCTATCTCTCTCTTTCTTTCTCTCCTTCTCTGTTCTTTCCCCAATTTTCTTCCTTCGTTTTTCTCTGCCTTCTATCCTCTCTTTTTTTCAAGGAATTCATCAATGAATTTCAATATAAAGTTTTAACTTAGCAATTTCCTTTCATGTTTCACAATTGGTATTCGAATTGAAATTGTCAATAAATAAATTTTGAAAGTGTTTGATTCTCCACCATTGACAGCCATTAAAAAGCTTCAAAACTTTAAATTCAAATTTGGATTTTCAAAAACTATTGTTTGTTTGGATTGGGTGTTGTTGCAAACAATTGAAAGTCTTCTTTGGAGTTTATATCTCAATTTTGAGGGTGTTTGGTGAGATTAAACTTGATTTTGATTGAATTTCATATTGAAACTCGAAGAAGAAGAACACATGACATACAATATACTTACGAAGTTGTATTAAAGTTGCATGTAAATTGTATTTAAGTTGTATTTTATTGTAACTATATATATTTTTTATTTGCATGTTGTATGGAAGTTGAAAAATACTTGTATAATGTATGACTCATTGTATGAAATTTGTATTTAAGTTATAAGTATTATCTTTTTACATAAAGTTGTTGAAGTATATCAAAATTGTATTAAGAGATGAAGTTTTGATTAGAATTTCATAGAGGAAGAAGAACACACCACTTACAAATATACAAAATATATACAAAAGACATATTATATAAAATTTATATAAAAATTGTATTTAAGTTGTATAATGTTGTAATTGTATTTAATTGGGTAGAAATAATGTATGAAAATTGTTGATAAGTTGTATACTATATAATTAGTTGTATAAAATTTATTTTTAGTTTATATATTATTGTAGATGTATCAAATTTGTATGAAATTTTATTTTTAGTTTATAGGTGGCAGTGGATAGGAAAGAGAGAAAAAAAGGAAAAATGGATTGTATATGGAGAAATGCAAACGAAAGGGTCTGGATTAACTCCTGTAATTATCAATAGGGTTCTAGATTAAAGTCATGTGTCCATCCAGAATTTAAAAGGTCATGATTGTTTGCTTCATTTTTTTTATTTTTTTGCTCACGGTTTAACAAAGAAACATAACAAATATGAGTTAGATGCTTGATTTGTTCACTGAATTATCTTTTTAGCTTCTTCATTGATTTTCGTTTTCTCCTTAATAACTTTATTTAGCTACTTGATTTTCAAAAACAAAAAAATCTACTTAATTCGATAAAAGTTCATAGTTCTATACCCAATTCAGTCTCATACTCATACATCTAATTTGTTTTCCGTTTCTGTAACTCCTTCTAGGTTGAACACAAAAGCATTTTAGTGATGGAGATATAGACTCCTTTTGAAGAATTTTAAGAATTCGAGGGAGATAAAAAGATATTGACTTTGACCATGGTTTGCATATGGGTTTCTTTCAGATTTGAGGAATTTTGTAAAGTTAGAAACTGAGCATTGACATGTGAGTTATAACAGAAAGTGGCCAAAAATACCCCTCAACTATTTGAAATAACTCAAAAATATCATCCGTTTATTTTTGATACAAAAAATATCCATGCCGTCAATATTTTGGACCACAAATGCCCTTAAACCGTTAGTCTTGTCATTGAATGTGACATGACAGTCCAACTGGGCTAGATTTGCTTACCTGGCCATCCACCTAAGCAATTCAACATGGCAAAATTATTTTTTCGGAAAAATTATTTTTTCGGAATTTTTTAAAAATATAAAATCAACACTTATTCCAAAAAAAGTATAAAAATTTCCGGGAAAATTATTTATTTCGGATTTTAAAAAAAAAATACAAAATCAACACTTATTCCGAAAAAGTAAAAAAAATCCAGAAAAATTATTTATTTCGGAAATTTTTATTAAAATACAAAATCAACACTTATTTCGGATAAATAATTTTTTCGTAATTTTTTTACTTTTTTCGGAATAAGTGTTGATTTTGTATTTTAATAAAAATTTCTGAAATAAATAATTTTTCCGGAAATTTTTATACTTTTTCTCGGAATAAGTGTTGATTTTGTATTTTAAAAAAAAATCAGGGAAAATAATTTTTTCGAAAAAATAATTTTGCCATGTTGGATTGCTTAGGTGGATGGCCATATAAGCAAATCTAGCCCAGTTGTACTGCCATGTCACCTTCAATGGCAAGACTAACGGTTTAAGGGCATTTGTGGTCCAAAATATAGACGGCAAAGATATTTTTGGTACAAAAAACAAACAGAGAGCATTTTTGAACTATTTCAAATAGTTCGAGGGCATTTTTAGCCCTTTTCCGGAGTTATAATGGAGATTTCGTGACCAAGAAAATGAAGAAATTGGAGGAAACAACCATGGCCTTCTAAATAGAACCCTATTGATAATTACTGGAGCATCAACTACTGAGCTAATCTAGACCCATAAGGAAAGAGGAGAAGAGAGAAAAAAAGAAAAAATGGTGTAACTAAATCCCTAATTTAAGACACTAATAATAGATTGTATATAAATTGTAAAACAAATATAGTTAGGTCGGGTAATATACAAATCTAGAACAATTTTGGTAAATAAGTTTATAAAAATAAAAAAATCACAAGAAACTGTTGTTGATCGGAGCAGGACTGAAAGTGAGAACTGAAATTCAGTATACTCGAGCAGAATTATACACTGATGGCATCATGTTCTGTTATTTTGGTTAGAAACTGAACACAGTATATCGTATTTTGAATAACCAATTAATGCTTATGGCTTCAGCTTTTCCTTTCCGTAGCTGATGAAGAATATCCAGTTCTGAAACTTACAATAAATTTGAACAATAGTCAGACCAAAATGTGTGAAGAAAAAGAACCAAAAATCAGGACAAAGAATCTTGAATAGAGCAGCGGCTACTGGCAAGCTACAACTGTAGGTTCCATTGCGATGGAGCTGTCTCTTTCACACATTTCAGGACCAATGCTTATGATCCCTTCTCCCTGAAATAGTTAACATGACAAAATATTAGGGTGGCTTCCCACTAATTTGAGGTGGGGGTGTAAGGTATACACAAACAATACAAAAGGTTTTACACTATTAGTGTATTTTAACAAGTTGTCCAGGTAATTAATCTCACTTGTGTGGATAATTATCTAAAGTTATCATTTAAGTGAAATTTTCTTATATTGTCCAATGTACACAGAAGAAAAATGTACAATACAGAAGTGTCATACCTTTGCAATATTTCTGAAATATGTCGTGTTATAGTTTCCTGTAGGATATAAAGCTTCAATAATATCTGCTAAGACCAGTTGGGGTTGAGAGACAGCTCCATCATACCAGTCTTGAACAAGCAAAGAGGGAAATATCATGAATCCCAGAAAAAGTTGAAAAGAAGTTCTATATTACTGCTAGTTATTTCCTAATTAAATCAATTATGTATTCAACTCCGAACTAATCTCCACCTTATATGAAACTATGATATGTTTCTTTTGTTTCTTCCTCATTTATGGAAACTAAAATAACCCTAGTTTCTTACTGTTTGGTGTAGAAAATGTTATATTCAGATAACAAGGACATATTACTTGAATAATATCAATATAGAAAAGGATCATGTAGGCAATGCATACACAAAAAAACTTTAGAACCTACCTAGGACTGTAGAGTTTTGCACCCTTTTATCATATCTCCACAAGCTTTGATTTGAGAGAAAAGCAAAGCAAGATTGATCTTCCAAATTGATGTTTCCAAGAAATGTGGAAGCACTATAGACCGCTGGATCTGAGGTATATGTTTCATCAATCACTACATCCACAGTCTACAAAACAAATATCTAAATCAGCAAAAAGTAGATGAATAAGTTAACCATATAGAAATAACAATGAGAGAATTAACTCACACACAAAATGGCATGAAACTCTTCTAAATCATCAGGAATGGACATATTGTATGTGACTTTGTTGATGGAATCATCGACATTGACTCCACCAGCATCCTCCACAAACTGCACTCATCAATCAGCATCGTCAAGATTAATATAACCTAACTCAAGAAAATTACACAAAAAACTGTTGAAAGTGCAACAGATCTAACCTTTAATTTGTATGGCTCTCTTGTAAATGACCACACTCCCTATACAAGGAAATAGTTGTATGTTAAGGGCGATTATAAAACAAATTCAAAGAAAAGGTTGAGTTTTCAAGGGTCAGTGTACACACATCTTTATGATCCATCCAAGATACAGTTGGTTTAACTGAAGTCTTACTAGTTGCAGCTTTGCTCAAGCACAAATAGTTCTCCTTAATCTATCCACAAAAGACAAATCCTTAATAAACAAGAAATTCTTTTTAATATTTTCATCATAATGAAAACTGAGGAATATGTCTCAATTCTTCACTTACTGCATCATAGACTTGGTTTGCCCTGTTTTCCAAATTCGCAAAAACTCCCAAGTATTTTATCCACTCTGCACGCTGTTAAAGTAATACAAATTATGCGTGACCATCCAACCGGAGACCAAAGCAAAGCTCGACAAAACAGAAAGAAGCCTTAGCTCATAAGCTTAACTTCTACTGACAATTTAAAAGATAACTGTCCATAATAAGTAGAACCAGTTACTAGAAACATAAGGCAAGCCACCTGCTACAACAAGTTAAATTACACTGATAATGTAAAAAAAATTTTAAACTGTCAGTGTAGGTAAAGGTAGTTACCTGGAGAGGTGCATCTTCACCAATAGGTACAAATGTGGCGAAGTTGCAGGGTTGAGTTTCATCAGTGTTGGCAATGAAGTGAGCTGCATATTGTGCAAGTTGTTGAGGTTCACTCTTATTAATGGTCTCAACTTGTCCGTCCTGGTATAGTTTCAGTACGCATTGAGAGGCCACATATGTTGATGTTATGCCTTTCAAGTTTCCCAACATGCCTAGAAGCTGCAATAATCCGTGCAAAAATTGTCAAACTAGAGAAAGATTTTCCTTTTCCGAAATTTCTAACAAAAACATGTATTCATAATACTATCATAATAGTAGTCATAAGGTTCTGCACTCTTACCTCGAAAAATGAAACTGAGAATTGAAGGAAAAAGAACAGAAAAGAAAAAACGAAACAAAGTCAGTACATGAGTTATTAACATATACTCCGTAGAAAAAACATGTAAAGCTTACAAGATGTTACAAAGGGGAGAAGTTGAGGTGGTTAAAATGGTACCTGGAAAATAGTAATCAGCCTCGATCGAGTAGTTTGCTAGAGGGATAACGAAAGACTTTATTCTTGAGGTGCAATATTTTGTTCTGCTGGCCATTCTCGTGTTGTTCTGCACACAATTTTACATACTAATTCAAAAGAGAGCTGGTTTGCTGGAGTTCTTGGATCAGAAATAAACTGATAACTTGCAGCTTGCTGGAATTCACAAGAACCATTTTTACAGAGTCGATAACAGCTCTAGCTAGTTTTCTGTAGTAGGGTTGGATGCATATTATCGACAAGTAGATGGGGTACATCTACTATCTTTGACTCGAGCAATATATATCTAATTGTAAGAATTTAAAGAATATATATAGTCCAAGTACATCAGCAGCATTTAATCCAAAAGAGTAGTGAGACCTGTGGTATTCATGTCGAATTAAATCATGGATTACCTCTATGTATCATAACTCTATGAGTTCTTGGTTTGCAAAGGTATGCTCTAGTGCATGTTGTGGGTTGCTCTAGTGGTGAGCACCCTCCACTTCCAACCAAGAGGTTGTAAGTTCGAGTCACCCCAAGAGCAAGGTGAGAGTTCTTGGAGGGAGGGAGCCGGGGTCTATCGGAAACAGTCTCATCCCAGACCACTAGTGATATCGTCCGCTTTGGGCCCAACCCACACGAACGACTTTAAAATGCGTTGGTAGGGTCGAAGACTTGTTTACTTATATACTCTGCATCTCTGTCGTGTTTTGTCCATGTGGAATTCGCCTAGCATGTCACATGTCATGACACCGTTAGAATTATTGTCAAGCTGGAAAATGGTCTCAGCAAAACAATGTAATTTGTATTAATCGATGGAATAGTTTAGGTAATGACACTTTTACTTTTTCCCAGATTGTGACCGTTCCCCAAAAGAAAAACTCCTGGCACAACTCAAAACAAAGCTCACAAAAGGAACTTGTGCCATGGAATTCAGCAACCAAGAAGGATTTGTGAGTTCTTGGATTTCCAATTACAGAGGATCAAATGATAGAGAACCCTCTTTTTTTCACCCTTGACCCTACTACGTCCAAGCTAAGGTCCAATATTTGTGGTCCAGCAACCCTTATCATATTCTTTTGAGAGTAATTCTAGCCTTGAAATCACTCGACTACCAAAATTTAAACAAGACTGGGCTATTCTTTTTCAAATTTAAGGTAATTACTAGTGAATTTCATGAATATACATGTTACTCCCTTAGTTTCAATTCATGTGAACCTTTTTTCTTTTGTGTTCGTGCCAAAAAGAATGACCTCTTTCCCTATTTGAAAATAATTTTCCTTTATGCAATGATTTATAGCTACACAAAATATATGTGCCTCATTTTATACCACAAGTTCAAAAGTCTTATCTCTTTTCTTAAACTTTATTGTCAGTCAAATGAGTTCACATAAATTGTGTTAACACGATAAAAACGATAAGAAACCTACTATAATAGGTTAAATATACACGGATAGTGTAAAAAATCATTAAATTATCAGTATATATAGCCCTTCCTTAAACAAAACTAGAGCCTGTTCTGGCGTTGGACTAAACGAACACACAGTTACATAATCTCTTTATTAAGGATCAATGTTAAGTCTTGATTAATTAATTCAACTGTCACTGACTTGTGACAAGGAATAGCAATGAGTAGAGATCATTGTATCATATTCATTGCTTAAGCAAACTAGTAGTAGTAAAGAGTACCTGGATAAGAAGATAACTCTTGCCATCAAGAGTGTTCTTGATGACCTTGAAGGTCTGTCCATAGTATATCCTAAAATATGCAGCATCTTCCACTTTTGATATATTCCCAACTTTCACTTTTGGAGTAGCTGCACTTGCCAATTCAAGAAACTCTAAAGTGTGGATACACCACAACAAAACCAAGAATATTTGCAGATACAAACTGGAAGAAGAAAAATGTGAGAGTAAATACATTATGGTACAATGAGAATCAATTCAAACCAGCACCCTTAACGGTATGGAAGAGGGAAGGGGTAAAAGAAATACAAAGAATTTAAGTTATATATACCACTAGTGTAATTTTTTTTATCAGTGCAGTTTAATGAGTTATAACGTATTATAATTCTATTTTTAATGTTATCATCTCAAACTTGTTATAAATAATTGTCTGTTATGATGTAAAAAAAAAAAAAATTATATACTTCCAGTGCACAACTTTTAAAATAGGCAGTGGACGTGGGGACATACTTCAAAGAAACAGTTAAATTTGGGGCGTGAATTATTTGATTTCAGTAGTGTTGGCATGTGAAAAAAGGACTGCTAGCTCCTTTTAATGGTTAATTCCAATTTCTGTGACCCGTGAATGTTAGACTTATTTTTGTCATCTTCTTTCCATCTGTTTTCTGTTTGTTCTGAGCGCTCAAATTTTTTCTCCTGTTTTAGCATCCACCACCATGTGCTATCCATTACTATCTTGCCACCTCCTTCCTCCTTTTAGTCTTTTAAAACTTTATGTACCTTCACCACTTTATTACTCAATCTTAGTCTACCCATCATTATGTGTTATATATTTTGGCATTTTATACTTCTCCATTTATAGTTATAATATACAAAGAGAAATCAGAAAATTTGAGAAGGAATCTTTTATATTTTGAATAAAATATGTTAGTTTAAAGGAGTAATTTTTTTCATCTGATCTAAGGAATCAAAAGAACTCTAAGCTAGGGTAAATAAGTGTGCATTATAGAGAGAAAAAGTACATAAAAATGAACAAGGACAGACAAAAGCATAAATAATTGAATGTACAAGCACTTGTAGGAAATAAATGTGAACAAAAAGAAACCAAACCAAAGCACATGAGCATGTTGGTTGGAGTTTGATGCTCTACCTTTATGTCTCATCTTGCTGCAACTACACAGGCTCAACAGTTCTAAGCGTGACCATTCAACTCACCTGCAGTGTTTTAAAAGGTGTTTTCGATGCGAGCCCTAGAGCGAAGCGTACCAAAAACGTCTCGAGGCGAGACGCACCAAAAATGCCCCGAGGCGATGATGTGGGGCGAAAGTTTCAAGGGGCGTACGCCCAGCAATTCGGGGCGTACGCCCGGGCGTTCGGGGCGAATTTTTTTAGTGAGACGTAAGCCCTAAAGATTTTTTCAAATTAAAACAAAATTTGTTGAATAAATCTTTCATATAATACTCAAATTTTTAAAATTCAGCTTAGTAATTACTCAAAAGTTTTAAAAAGGAACTAAAATGTATTAAATTTAAAAGTTAAGACTTTTTTATTGATCGAAGCCCCAATTCATGATCTTTTCCAATTTTTTATCTTGTCCGCTAGTCTACTAATATCTCTAAAAAAATAACGAATATTTAATTTTTTTTACAAATACAAAGAGAACTCCATTCTCCTTCATAGCAGCAAGTTNATATTATTTTATAAAATATTAAAAATCAAATACCTATGGGGCTTACGCCTCGATGAGGCATATGTAAAACGCCTCGATGAGGCCCACGCCTTTTAAAACACTACTCACAGGCTCGATAAAGTACAAGGTATTCCAGATATGAATAGCTTCACGTCTATTTTTATTTATTTAGAAATTTAATCATTTGAAAGTGCAGTCTGCTAAAGGAAATAAAAGGCATATGCACTGCCCCGCCGTCACACCTATTAATTTTCTGCAATTCCAGCGACAGCGCGGCTTGCCCGAGCCCAAATCTCGGACAACCATCCGTGGAAAAATACTTAGGGCCACACAGAAATCATGAGATGCCATCAGAAGGCACCTTTGGAAGAAAGTCAGCAGACCAAGGGACAAGCAGCCGAAAGTGGGAAGGCTCTTTGACCTTCTGAGCCATGGTTGACAACAGGATCCCTCTAAGTCTGCCTTTCCAGCTTTCCATGCTGGAATGCACCAGGCTGCTGGACAGCCTTACCATCCCTGCCAACCACCCCCTTTGTATAGCCATTTTAATTTATATAAATAGGCTTTATACTCATTCTTTGTAAGCATCAGATATTGCATAATACAACAGAAAATTGGCATTTGCCTCCCAAATCTGAGTCTCTTTCTTTCACAGCTTTCTTGTTTGTTTCGTGTGATTGCCATCGCTTTAGCACGATTGTGCTGTTTATTGTCTAAGGGCTGAAGCTAAGTAGCAGTCAAGCTAACTTCGCTGCCCTCACCGAACCGTCAGAAAAATGGTTCCATGACTGGGTAGAAGCTATCCAGGACTGGGAAGCTCCAACGAAGGTACCAGAAGTTTGGTCCTTTCTCGGCTTAGACAACTATTATCGAAGATTCATCTTCGGTTACTCGGCTATTGTATCCCCATTCACTGACTTGCTGAAGAAAGACAGAGAGTGGGAATGGAGCGATATCTGCCAGGAGGCATTTGAGAAACTCAAGGCAGCAATCACCAAGGAACCCGTATTGGCCCTGCCTGATTTCTCAAAAGTTTTTGAAGTCCAGACTGATGCATCTGACTTTGCTATAAGAGGCGTACTGATACAAGAGGGCCATCCTATAGCCTTTGAGAGTCGAAAGCTGAATGACGCCGAGAGGCGTTACACGGTCCAAGAGAAAGAAATGACGGTTGTAGTCCACTACCTAACGACTTGGCGTCATTACTTATTGGGGGCTCATTTTGTTGTCAAGACTGACAACGTTGCAGCAAACTACTTCCAGACACAGAAGAAGCTATCTGCCAAGCAGGCCCGTTGGCAAGATTTCTTGGCCGAATTCGACTATACCCTGGAATACAAACCGGGGAAAGCTAACGTAGTTGCCGATGCTTTGAGTCGCAAGACAGTAATGGCAACCATTGTTAGGTCAGCAAGCAGTGGCATCATCAAGACCATCAAAGAGGGCATGGAACATGACCCCGTGGCGAAACAACTTCTTGCCTTGGCCAGTCAAGGCAAAACTCAGAGATTTTGGGAAGAAGATGGTCTCTTATACACCACTGGCAAAAGAGTATACGTGCCCAAATGGGCAAATCTCAGGGGCACTCTGCTGAAAGAAGGTCATGACTCTGCCTGGGCAGGTCATCCAGGGAAAAAATGCACATTGGCCCTGATCGAGTCTTCTTATTACTGGCCTCAGATGTGGGACGACATCGAGGTATACGTGCGCACTTGTCTAGTTTGTCAACAAGACAAGGTGGAATCCAAAATCCCTGGGGGTTTACTTGAGCCGCTGCCAGTTGCGGAGAAGCCATGGGATAGCATCACCATGACTTCATTACATGTTTGCCAAATTCAGAAGGATTCAGCACCATTATGGTGGTTGTCAATAGATTTACCAAGTATGCAACCTTTTCGGCCACCACTGCCGGTTGCAAAGCTAAAGAGGCAGCACGCATATTCTTGAGGGACATCGTAAAATATTGGGGTGTGCCTAAGCACATCATAAGCGATCGAGACCCTCGATTTACCGGCGCATTTTGGAAAGAATTATTCAGCTTGTTGGGAACTCAACTGAACTTCTCAACAAGTTTCCATCCACAAACAGATGGACAAACGGAAAGGATTAATGCCTTACTTGAATGCTATCTAAGGCATTATGTCAGCGCCAATCAAAGAGACAGGGCTAACCTACTGGATACAGCCCAATTCTCTTACAATTTGCAACGCAGCAAGGCGACCGGGAAGAGTCCCTTTGAGCTTGCAACTGGGAAACATCCCAACACTTCTCAATCATTGCCCGCCAACGTCGGAATGAAAAATCCGGGCGCTTATCACATAGCCAAGTTTTGGGAGGAACAAGCCGATTTAGCCAGGTCATATCTTGACAAGGCTGCCCGTAAAATGAAGAAATTTACGGACCGGAAGCGTCGTCCAGTCAACTATAGGATTGGAGACAAGGTCATGGTGAAATTGAATCCACGGCTGTTCAAATCACTGCGAGGCATACATCATAGTCTGATTCGCCAATATGAGGGCCCATTCAAAATTGTTGCCAAGGTGGGAATAATCTCTTACCGATTGGACATGCCGCATCATCTGAAAATCTATCCTGTCTTCCATGCTAGCCAACTGAAACCATATTTCGAAGATTTGTGGCAGTTCAGGGAATAGGTCCATAATTATCTTCAGTTGTGCGGCGCCAGGGTCGTCGCCATTTCAAGTGGGGGAGAGTGCACCGCCCCGCCTTCACACCTATTAATATTTCGAAATTCCAGCGACGGCGCGGCTTGCCCGAGCCCATATCTCAGACAACCATCAGTGAAAAAATACTTAGGGCCACACAAAAATCATGAGATGCCATCAGAAGGCACCTTTGGCAGAAAGTCAACAGACCAAGGGACAAGCAACCGAAAGTGGGAAGGCATCTTTGACCTTCTGGGCCATGGTTGACAGCAGGATCCCTCTAAGTCTGCCTTTCCAGCTTTCCATGCTGGAATGCACCAGGCAGCTTTCCAAGCTGGAATGTACCAGGCTGCTGGACAGCCTTACCAGCCCTGCCAACTACCCCTTTGTATAGCCATTTTAATTTTTATAGATAGGCTTTATACTCATTCTTTGTAAGCATCAGATAATGGATAATACAACAGAATATTGGCACTTACCTCCCAAATCTGAGTCTCTTTCTTTCACAGTTTTCTTGCTTGTTTCGTGTGATTGCCATCGCTTTAGCACGATTGTGCTGTTTATTGTCTAAGGGCTGAAGCTAAGTAACAGTCAAGCTAACTTCGCTGCCCTCACCGAACCCTCAGAAAAACGGTTCCGTGACACATAGCTTCTTACCAATAGCACTTTCTCAACTATGATCTCATTCTTGACTATTTAAGTTATTGGGTGTGGAGTATCATTAATTTAATAAGTATGAACTTATAACAACTGAATAATTCTTCAAATTATTAGGTTTACATATAAAGTTTAAGTCGAAAATAATTGATGCTGAGGAAAACATTGCTAATGTGCTGCATTGGCCACTTGATAACGCTCCTCTTTATCTAATTCAAGCTTCTCTTTTCACATTCTCTTTGTTGGAGGACCTAGTGGGTATTCAAAAGGATTAGGAGGAGCCCCATATTTTATTTTAGGGAAAATTACGCAACACATCAAATATTTATACTGTATTTATTATTCATAGCTATACTTTCAGCAAATTTGCCATTCGTAGCTATATTTGAATTTTATAGCAAATCCATAAAATAAGAGATGATTAATTATTTTGAACTGAAACAACAGACAATAAGCTCTTGTAGCTCAGTTGGTTAGATTGCTTGCTTAGCTAGGGAAGGACTTGAGTTTGAATCTTAACAAGAACATGATTTTTTTGTATTTATGTATTTTGCCTTAGTTGTATTTGTCGCATGAACAAATACATTCGATACATGATGTATTCTTTGTATATACCTCTATATACAATCGATACAAGTTGTATCCTTTGTATATACCCATGTATATAATTGATACAAGTTGTATCCTTTGTATATACCCATGTATATAATTGATACAAGTTGTATCCTTTGTATTTCGCCTTAATTACAGTTGATACATATTGTATTCCTTACACGAATGAATACAATTGCGCGAATGAATACAGTTGATGCAGGTTGTATTCGTTGCACGAATTAATACAGTTGACACATGTTGTATTCGTTGCGCGTTTGAATACAAGTGATACAAGTTTGTAACAATTAAACAGTAGCTACGATCAAAGAGCATGCGAGACTTCGAAGGGACATTCACACTTTGATTCGTGAGCAACTTCACGAGAACATTGTGAAAGGGGAAAATGGCGGTTGTCCGTGCACTTTCCGGAAATGACGGAAATATAGTCCAGTGCCGCGAAGGCGATAATGTCTCACGATCTTACGATCTCCGCGGAGACGATTAGGCAAATTATACTTATTAGGCTCTAAACTATAGTGGCTTATGAAAAATCCTCTTTATTTTATAAACAATTGTTCTTATTAGTGGGCTTGTAAAGAGCAAGAAAAAGGACTGGGCTTGTGCCCAAAAGAGTTGGATCCCTAGATAAAATGGGTCGATTTCTCCCCTTGGTGCGAATAGGGAAAAAAACAAATCGGGAGTAAGGGGCAAGGTGGAGGCAGGGGCGGATCCAAAGTGGTGGTGCCTGGTTTATCTGAAGTCTGAACCCATTAGTTTCGATGTTAAACATAAATTTATGTATAAAAATGATCTAAAATAAAAATAAATGACAAATATGAGCCCATAACTTTAACAATATGATGAGTTTATCGCGGTATCAAGCTGAACTGCTTCAACACTAAAAATTTAAGGGTTGAACTATAGAATTCAAATTCTGATCTGGCTCCTCTGGGTGGAGGAAGTGGATGAACACTTGGCAAGCTCAAAATTAACAAAAACACTAAATCAGGGCTCAAGTTAAAAGAAAAACTTAACTGTTAAAGTATACTTGATATATATGGAAAAAACAAAATACAGCTACACTTTTGGTATTAAAAGGCAGGGGCCTCTAAGTTATGCCTTAACAACAATTATGGTTAGCAATACAAGAAAAAAAAATAATCAAAAAGAAGGGACAATATGGTGCAACCAAATGGTAGAAAGAGCTACAACAAGGGTGAGATAAGGCCATTTCTTTTCCACAGCAACATTGCAATATTTCTCTTCTTCTTTATCAACAATTGGGAATTTGTTTTGTTTATAACAATAATCCCATTTATAATCTTGAGCTTTCTTTTTCTCCTCCCTCTCCATTAAGCATTCTTCATTGACACTGACACCCCTCTTGTCTTCTAATTGAGAACCTTTTTCGTCCAAGCATTCCCCAAAACATATCCAAAAAAAAGTATGTAAAAATGCAACCATACTCACCAAAGTTCTCATAGTTGTTGTCCACGGTCTTGTGACTTTCTTAACAAAATTATCATAAAAGTTTCTCTCTTTAGGTATTGCTATTGAATCTGAAAACTTTCCTATATATAGAGGAAGATCATGGACTGTGACTAGGTTGCGATGAATCCTAAGAGTCGTAGAAGGTGTCAGTTGATGATAGAATGTCTTGGCTGTTTGCCTTGTCGCTATAAAAAACCCATGATTGACTTCAATCTTCTCATACACTTCAAAGCTTGGGGAATTTGATAAACCATCAGTCATGTTTCCATCATCCAACAACTTGTCATTGCCAAATCCTATTGAGAAATTGTTTGTTTCTGTTTCATTGAATCCACTTAAGTTGTTGTGGTGGCCACTGTATTCACCTATCATTTTAATGGATCAAAAAAGAAACCTAACAGTAAATTAAGAAGAAGGAAAAAAAAGACATTCCGGCTGTTTCATTTTGTATGCTTGTATATATTACTGGGCATGAATATTTTAAAATAAAATATGCAATGACATTTATAGTTTCAAGAACATGCATGTTATTAAGCGTAAAATAAAAAATTTAAAGTTAAAGAGTTTCTAAGTATAAGAAATTGTATTTTTTTTTCAGCAGATTTAAAAGGGAGGAGCGTTATGTAAAATGGAACAGATGGGGTAGTTAAAAAACAATAGAGGAAGATATATACTTGGAGAATTCTATAATACCTTGAAACTGATTCTCTTCTCTTTGGATAGCTGAAACATTTTCTATTGGAACAGTCTTGTAATCCTCAAGAAATGTCTGTCCAAGTGTAAAGGAAAAGTAAATCGGCCATAAGCATATATAGGATTCCAGATTCATGATTGCTAGAATTAATAAGGTTAAAAATGGTTCTACTAATTATTAGACAAACAAATTTACCTTCTCAAGATCCCTGTCTGACATTCCTATCCATCTCAAATTTTCCACCATTCTATCAGATTTGAAGTCCTCACCAAAATCTCCGATACCGATGGACCTAACATTCTGATCTTCCTTAAGCTGTTCTATGAAATGGAATGAATCCAAGTCATGGATTTGGTTATTATTAGGAGGAAGAAAAGAGAAGTTATCAACAGGAGCACATGAATTTCCACCCCATGATAAGTCTTGATTGATTAGATTTTGTGAAGCTTGGGCAACTGAAAGGATTTCTTCTACAATATCCGTTTGATTTGTAGATTGAATAAAACTTGATTGAGGCATCTTGGTATCAACATAGCCAACTTGAGGGAAGTCTTGAATCTCCAATGGAGGTAATGCGAACCTATGCTGCAACCTTGCACACTCTAATGCTATATTAACCTGAACAAGTATTAAAAAAAAAAATTAAACAAAGAGTTTAACTTCTACGGTATGTATATACTACTCGATTAAAATATTTGTATACTATTAGATCACTAAGTAATAGAACCCGTGGCATAACCTATTATATATAGAGCGAGTTAAATTGCATTGACAAGTATAAGTTAAAACAATAAAAAAGTAGACTCCTTTTATCATATAGTATTAGCTAGCTGGTCCTAATATTTTGGTGATATTCATATATGGTAAACTAATATCTGAATGTTGACATTACCTTAGATGGGGGATATGGCAAAGTTCCATAATTTGGAATGGGGTGAGTAGTGTTGTTGAAAGCAAAAGGTTGATTTGATAAATATTGCATATTCCAGTTATCATCACTAGGGGTAGGAGTAGCAAATGATGATGGCATTTCCATATGATGATGATCACATCTTCCCTCAGAGGATCTATCACTCCCATAATTGACGTCGTCTCCTTTTTTTGGACCATTTAAACTCCTCTTGATCACACGACAAAGTGCATAACCATCTTGTAAGCCATTGGACACTTCACATTCACCTTCGTCTAATCGATATTCATGCATAACCCAATCAGTTCGAGCTCCATGTGGGGCTCTACCTCTGTAATAAACCAATGTTTTCTTCATCCCAACAGACCTCATCTCTGAATTTACTTTCCTGTCCTTTCCTGTGGCTTTCCAATATCCAGCTTTCGTTGCTCGGTTAGTCCTCGATCCATTTGGATATTTACGGTCTCGAGGACTGAAGAAATACCATTCAAGATCTTTGCTAGGCAATAGGGATTTTCCTATATATATTTAAAAGAAAAGGCAAAGTGAGACGAAAATTTAAAAAGGACGTGAAAGAGATTCTAGAAACACAAAAGAAAGTGTATTAAAAGGGAAAATAAAAGGGTTGCAACTCATGATACAAGACATTGCAATCATGTCATTTTCTTTTTCCACACTGACTTTTGACTTCAATATATCATCATTACAAGTAGCAAGTACAGTCTTTAAGCTTCAATAGAAGATCAAAAGACGTAGGGACCAACTTCCTTTATATCTAGGAACTATTTAAGATATTTTTGTACTAAAGCATATGTTGTTTTTATTGTGAAAGTGTGTGTTAAAGTGTTCATAATCAGAATTTATTAGTCAGCACGCGTATGAAACACTATGCATTTAAACTGGTAAATCAGATTTATCTTACCGGTGTTTTAATTTTCATTTTCACATACTCAGATTTGGAAGGAAAAAAATCCCTTAAATTCCAACTTATTTTTCTTGGGTTTTTGTTTAGCTAGACATGTGATCATCATTTTCTATTTCGAGTTACATTATTTAATTATAAATGAATAAAGTAATGGCATGACTGCATAACATTAATATACTCATGGTTAAGGAATTAGTGAGTGGTATAATATATTTGTTATACCTTTCTTGACAATCACTTTGAGATAAATATAATCTTTTTGGCTCAACCTTGATCAGCATCAATGGTAGTTTCTTTTCCTTTCATATAGGACTTGATTTACACATTATGTAAACTATGTATTCAATATTTTTTCTTTGGGGTTCCTTTAAAGAGGAGAACAAGAAAGGCGAAATAAAAGAATTATACCTGGTAGATCCCACGGCTCACATTTGTAAAGATCAACTTCAGGAATGATCTCAAGTTCAATTTTCTTGCCATTAATCTTTCTTTTCAAATAATAAGCCACAAGTTCTTCATCAGTAGGATGAAACCTAAAACCAGGTGGCAATGAAACAGGTGCCATCTCCTTCGGAACTTCTCCTCACCTTTTCTTTTCCCTTTAACAATATAAAGCGCGAGATATTGAGAAGAAGTTCCAAAGAAGAAGAGGGAGAGAGAGACAAAAGAAGCCGAGGAACTCAACAGTTAGAGAAGAAGGATATATGAGGAAGTTGGAAGGATTGGNTGCCACCCCTACCTTTAGCCACTTTTACCTTTAAATTTGTTTTTTCACATCAAATGAAAGCTTTATTAATCTTTCTTCTCAAGCTCAAAGAACAATCTCCTTCTCATAGTCACATAAAAGCTTTAGATGAATATATAATGAAATAACTTGAGAATATGTGTTATATGTGTATATGTTTGGACGAAATGTATTCATGCATATTACCTACTTATATCTAGTTCGAGTTGAAGTTCTAATCCATTTGGACATAAATATTACTACTCACTACTAAAAATTGTCAAAAAAAGGTGCAGAAAAATCAACCGCAATCGATCCGAATCGAACAAAAACCGACCGATTTCCGACCATTTTTAATTTGTCGAAAAAATAATGATCGCTAACGGCAATTGATCGTAGATGGACGATATTTTCGATCGCAATCGGTCGGTAATTTTCGACACACTTTGACCAAATATTCTGACACAAAATAAACTTACCGAATTCGGTCGGTATTGTTAAAAAAATTACAATTTAAAATCAAAAATTCTGACTGAAGTCGATTGGTATTATTAAAATATTTAATATTTAATATAAAAAATTCCGACCGAAGTCGATCGGTAAATTTAAATTTTTGGGAAATCAATTGAACATTTCTGACCGATTTCGGTCGGTAGGTGGTCGGTTTTCTGGGTAAGTTTTTGGTAGAATACAATTGTTTTATAACTTCACCATCTGCCAACAACCAATCACCTATAATGGCAGCATTACATTGCTATCATTCAACCAATAACAAAAACAATAATAACAATAACAACAGCAGCAACACTAACAATAACAATAACAACAATAACAATAATAACAACAATAACAATAACAATAACAATAATAATAACAACTATCAAAACTATATTCACAAAACATCATCTCCATCTCCAATAAACTATATTAACAAAACACCATACCCAACAACAATACGTTTCACAAGTTAAAAGTTCAAATATCATTCAATAAGTGTTTTGTACTACATCATCTCCATCTCCGCTGCTAGAACCTTCATCGCCGGCATGATTTGAAGGATCACGACGAGAAGGAGACACATCTGGGGAATGCTCACGAGACCGGGGAATGGGGAAAGCACCACTAGCAAGAAGATTGGCCAGCTGACCTTGAAGGACATTAAATTGTTGGTCCCTCTTTTCTAGCTGAACTTGAAGGGTATCAAATTATTTATCTCTCTTTTGTTCTCTAGCCTTTATCTATTCAAGCTCTGCCGTCAGCTTTGCGATCTTCTTCTCCATAGATGAGAGAGTCGACCTATTAATTGCCTCGCCCTGGGCGGAAATCCCTATACCTTGCAATCAAGCCCTGTAGCGCCGAAATGATCTCTCTGGAAGGTCGTATGCTATCCCCTTTTTAGGACCACCGACAACATCTAATGATATCTTCTGCGTTTCTTCGTCTGAAAGGGGTGGTCGTTCGCCTTGCTCATTCGGTGATAATCTCTGAGTGTACTCCTCCACATTAGTCTTGTAGCGACCCTTTATTTAGAAGATAGAAAATTATTAACTATATAATATTATAAACATTAATTTCAAGTTATAGTAGTTATGAAACTTACATATGTAGTCTCCGCCCGGTCCTCGACCCATCCAGCTAGATCTGTCGGTGCCTTCTTTTTTCGGATGCGAGTCTCCATGAAGAACTCATCATGAGTCATCTTCCTCCCATATTTTTATTTTCCTACAAATATAATAATACATGTTAACTAAATTAAAATATATAAATATAGTTTTATAAAAATAGAATTAAATATATTAACGAATTACCAGTAGTCTCCTCGCAGTCCCCATGCTTCTTGCACACACACAATGCAAATAGCCACCCTTCTCAGATGCTCGAGCCTTCTTTCCCTATTCACTCCTCTTCTCGAATTTCTCAGTAGTCCACTGCCTCAGCAGATCCTCCCATATGTGTGGTAGAGCCCATGAAGTCTTCTTACTCTTTTTCTGAGCGGAACAGAAGGAATCAGATAGTCTTTTACGGTATTTGAACTCAAAATTTACAAGAATGACAGTGTTATGCCGGCCCTCCCAAGCACACTTAGTCTGCGAATGAAGTGTGTAACGTTAGATGAAGTTATTGTTAATATAATTCTTAAATAGATAAGAAGTGTATTAAAATCTTAAATTGGTTGAAAATTTTCTCCACGAGCTCTGGTGGAAATTCACTCCAAGTCGCATAGGGAGCATCATACAACTGGCCAAGAGCTTCAGTGATTATCTTTGTAGTCTGATGACTAGGTATGAACCCGCAACATAGCAATTACATTAAATAAACAAGACTAACTATTATAATTTAACAAAAACAAAGAAGTAATTAATAAACTTACCCGTTGCCCTCAGGCCTGATAACCATCCTATGATAATGATCATACTGCACTTCCTCTGGATCATCATCCTACGAAGAATCTGAAGCGTGCGTAGAAGGCGAGGCATTTGGCTCAGTGCTACTATCCCGAAGGCGAAGTCTAGAAATGCTAGGAGACGAACTCGGTGGAGAGGGAGACAGGGTTGCTGATGAAGATGGATATGATCTAGACCCCTGCTACTATCTGGGTGGCTGAAATCTAGATGGATGTGATCCAGCTGGTGGTGAAACAAATGGAGCAGATGACATGCGTATCATCATATGGCCCTGTGACTGCTGACTCGATGGACTCATGTAACTATATGCAGGATCATGTGGAGGAAGCGGGGTATAGCCCTGTGGTGGAGAATGGTAAGAATATTGTTGGGAGGGCGAATGGTAGGTAGTCTAATGAGTAGATGGATGTGGTGAAAAATATGTGTGCCTAGAATATTGTTGTCGGCCATCAGCAGCGGATGCAAGTGTGGAATAGAAGGAAGCGAGGGTGTAGCATGACGAGCGCAAAACACAAACTTAAATTGTGCTCGCTAGTCAAAGGTAGTATAGTATAATATCGTATCCACATGGATTAGATTTAAACAGTATTATCGTAGTTTGTAGCTAGATTGCTATTCAGGAGGATCAACAGTTGAGGTTTATGTAATTAATAATCTAAAATCTACAGTTATTGACTAATGACCATCGCAATAAAAGTAAGCAAGGAAGTTATCAATGGGAGAAAATATGGGTTGATAGGATATGTGCAAGATAATTGTTCGGAATCTAACTCTAGATAATTCACTTCTAATGTTCAAGTGAGTCTCTCGAATTCACTTAATTATCAGTACAATTATTTAGTAGCAACTCCTATCTCGATTAAGTCTCAACCTCACAATATGAACCAATTTAAGCTCGGTGAAGATATGCAAGAATTCGTAATGGATTGGTATTTAGGAGAACCTATTTCGATTATCCTCCTAACTAGGTTTAATCAAGGATTCAACTAGCCTCTTTTGATTACTTAGACGAATCTATGAACTCAACCAATAATATAGAACAAATATATCATAAGTTATACCTCTTTCGATTACAAAAATAAGTAAATATAGATACAACAATTAAATCTTCCAAAAACGATTTAAATACATAAAAATAGAGTTATAATCCACAAACAACCATCAACACACCAAATCCATCAAAACCCAAAAGGTTCTACTCCACAGACATGGAGAAGTTCTTCACAAATGAAATAAAAGTAGAGAAAAATATAAATACAATCCAAACCCGGATCTTGAGTGAGGAAGGATGGATGAAATCCCTGTGCTCTTGCTTCTCCCTCTTCTCATTGGCTTTCCTAGGTCTAAGGTATATCAATGTGTGTTAAAAATGGTGTTTTGGGGTATTTAATCTGCCCCAAAATAAATCCCAGACGAAACTACCCTTTTCTTAGCAAAATAGGACTTTTCCCAGACAGGACATGACGCGCACCTCGAGACCTGCTCGCGCACTTGGTCACGCATCTTGCACATTGTTCTGCCCCAAGTGCGCGCCCAGGTGCGCGATCGCGCACTTGGTCGCGCAACTGGTTGGGAAGTTAGGAATTTGGGAAATGTAAAATATGAAAGTTGTAGCTCTTTTAAATAGCTTTCCAACGATATATTGTGGAGCCTAAACGTATTTATGAGCGAAATGTTATGTGCATTTTACTGTACAATGCGCAATATGCCTGCTCGATTCTTTGTTTCGTTCTTAAAGTGCATTATCATCCGTTGATCCTCGAACACGATCCCAACTTAACCCTTGGGCTTTTACTCAGACTTCAAAGCTCCAAAATAGCATGAATTCATGCCACAACATCTACATAACTCGGAATCACTCATGCAGGGCATAAAATATATAATAAGTGCAAAATACGCCTAATTAAAGCTCAACATAAGTAAAGTACAATGAATTAGAGTGCAATAAGCGACTAGAATACGGGATTATAGCCTACCATTATAGCACCATCCTCATGATCAATAAGCCTCTTATCCTTCTTAAACCTACCTCGACTCTGTCTGTCATCTGCATAATTTAAAGAAAATGTTAGAATTGAGAATATAAATCTATATAAGTTGAGAGCGCTTGAAAAAACTAACATGCTAGTCATCTTCGAAGTATCCTTCCTCGTCCGAAAATTCTTCCTCTTCACTTATTTCTTTTTCATCAGTTGATTCTTCGTCCTCATTTTCTATGATTGTTATTTTCTCCATATCAACTTCTTTTAATATGCGTTGAGGATGCTCGTAGTCATTTTCTAATTGATCATCCACCATTTGGTTAACACTTGAGGTATCGTTTTAGTAAGCAACATCTAGCACATTCTCAACTTCCACCCTACCAGCATGTTTAGTTTTGATTACAACCAACCAATCAGCCTTATCCCTTCGCAATGGATATAAAGCATAATGCATTTGCCTAATTTTTTATGCAATTATAAAAGGATCATAGCGATCATACTCCCTCTTTTTATTAACCTCAATTATGTTATTCTGTGAGTGTATATTTGTACCTCTTCTAGGTGTTGGGTCAA